TCCTATTGTAATGAAACACAACTACCCAAAATCCTTTTTAATTTTAAAATTAAAAAAAAAGAAAAAAGAAGAAGATATTTTCTATTTAAACCCCACACTTCTCTTTGTTCACCTCATGTTCTAAGTTCACCCCAACTTCTAATTTAAATTTTCACAATTTTTAAGAAAACCCCACTATCTTCCCAAACTACCCTTAAATACATCCCAAGTTGAAAAATAATAAATAAAAGAGTTTTCTATTTAAACCCCACTATCTTCCTACTACAAACTATAGAAAAAAACATATATCTAAACTAAATAGTGAGGGGAAAAGATGAAGAAAGCTCCTATTTTTTGAGAAGAAGATGAAGGTCTTTGTGCTTAGTATGCCATTGGTTAATGGAAACATTAAGAATTGAAATGATTCATTAAATGAGGATAATATGGTAAATTCACACTTTTTTATATTAAAAAAATTTAAAATTTAAAACAAAATCAGATTATGAGTCCTATTTTTATGAAACACAACTATTAATTATCTAAAATTGATTGGGCCAGCTTAATACTAGTACCAATTAAAATTGATTGGGTTCATATCAAAACCAAAACCCCCAAACAAAAAAGAAAAATAAAAGGTTTGGGTTGGGTTGGGCCTTTGGATTTATAATTGGGCAAGCTTACTATTACTAATTATAATCTATAAAAAAAAAAAAAAGAAAAAAAAAACAAGGGTCATTGAAGAGCGCTCATCATTAAGTCGGTATGTGCACCGCACGCTATTCGTCCCTCCAAATCCGAAACTTCGAAACCCACACACACAACTCAAAACAGCAAGCGCTTGCTTTGCTCCTTCGTTTCCTCCTCTCTCACTAGGGGCTAGGGTTAGGGTTAGGGTTTTGCGTGCTTGCTTGGGGTTCAAACCCTAGCTGCAGCAATGGCCAGGTACAGAAGCCGAAGCAGAAGCTACAGCCCTCGTCGACGCAGCCGGACTCCGCCACGTGGACGCAAGCGATACGACGACGACCCTCGTGATCGCTACCGTGAAAGCAGGTCTTACAGAGACCGTCGCTCACCCGCTCCTTCTGGCCTGCTCGTTCGAAATCTTCCTCTCGATGCCAGGTCTCTCTTTCCTTCCCTATGAATGCATTTGTGTGCACATATGTTTATATATATTTTCGTATTTATGTGTATTTTGTTTTGTTTATTCAGGATTAGTTATCTTGTTGGCTATATAAGTCTATGTAGTTTATTCTTCAAATGTGGGACTAAATTTGGGTGCTAGTAATGAATTATTGGTTTTGTTTTTGTAATTGTTCATGCTATAATTTTCTATTTATGCGGATGAAATGTGTACAGAGGAGTGAATGTTTCTCTGTGTGTTTGTGTTTGTGTTTTATAATATACACAAATGTTCGTAGTTCTGACACCAGTATTTTATATAACAATAACTAGATTTTACATGAATATAGAAATAATCCTTCAACAAATTGAGTATATTATGATTATGGTGAGTCCTTTTAACCACAAATTACGGATACATCAATTTTTCCACAACTATACCTGTAAGCTTCTTGTTGTTATAATTATCTTTTACAAAATAATTTATGGTTTATCTAAGTTTTTGCAGGCCTGAAGATCTTAGGATCCCATTTGAGCGATATGGCCCAGTGAAGGATGTGTATCTTCCTAAGAATTACTACACTGGGTATGCCCTTTTTTATAGTTATACTGTGGATTATGCTAGAGATGCAGTGCAATTCTTCTTTGGTGTAAAAGTTGAACTCCTTGAATAGATAATTCTTTAAAAGTGGATATAATTCAGACACTTGTACCATATGAGACATGATGCCACTATTAAGTTATTTAATTAAGCTGTGCCTATTTGAATCTACAGGGAGCCACGGGGCTTTGGGTTTGTGAAGTACCGTTATGCGGAGGATGCAGCTGAAGCAAAGCAACAACTGAACCATTCAGTTATTGGTGGACGTGAAATAAGAATTGTGTTTGCTGAGGAGAATAGAAAAACTCCCCAAGAAATGCGTACAACTACTCGCGTAAGGTACACTGCATTTTGCTTCAATACCACCCATCATTTCATATGTCTCCCTAATTGAAATAAGATATTTATTTCATAAATGTTGATTTTTTTTTTCATTTCTAAATTTATCAGCAGTGGTCGACATGGAGGAAGCTCCAGAAGGAGATCTCCACCGAGGTCCCCAAGACGGCAATATCGTTGTCAGTTTGAACTTTCACTTGGCATTTGTTGAATTGCAAACGAGGCTTCTTTTATCTGACATCCTTTATGAAATGATTCTGTTCCCTCTGTTTTTCTGCTAAACTATCATCCTAATTTTTTGGTCACAGCTTACTCGCGGTCACCTTCACCTGTTAGGCGTGACTCAAGGTCTGTACCTTATCTCTAGAAGTTGCCATATGCTATTTTAAAATTTGATCAATAGTTATAGGTTTTCAATGCTAGTTTTCATGGATGAGTAAACAGTGGCTTCTTCATCATATGGCATGCTGTTGGTGTGTGTAGGCAATAGGGAACAAAGAACAAACAAGTCTATTCAGCTTTGTGTTGGAACCATATTTTTTTTGCTGAGTTTGAACCATATTTTTTTTAGTTTTCATGGATGAGTAAACAGTGGCTTCTTCATCATATGGCATGCTGTTGGTGTGTGTAGGCAATAGGGAACAAAGAACAAACAAGTCTATTCAGCTTTGTTTTGGAACTTGTATTGCTGAATTTGTTGATGAGGATTCTATATCTCTCCATCTTAATTTTTGCTGAGTTTGAACCATATTTTTTTGTGGTCATTAATGTAGTTTGGTTGAAACCAAAATTAGATATGTATTTGCAGTTTGGTGGTATTTGTGTCTGCGTTTCTTGCTTCCTTCACTAGGTAACGAAAAATATCAATTTTCCGAACTCTACTGTTTTATGTTCACATACCTGTATCTCCTTTGACATACTTTGTAAACTAATTTTATGGTAATTATAGGAGCTTCTTTACTGAAATTGCAGAATGAGAACTCTTTAGGTACAGAGACTTCATCTCTTGCATGCATCGTGTGTCCAATGAATTGTATAATATCAGCTGGTGGCCTTGTTTGTGCAGATATTAAAGTGAAAAAGGAGACTTTAAAGACATCTGGATTAATAAAGTTTAATGTGAAAAGTGATCATAAAAGTGATGGGCAACTTCTTTACCTTTCTACCAAAGCCTCTCCATAAGTCTTATCCATATCCATCATCAACATTCATCTACGAATGGCATTGGGTTTCCTATTCTTATGACTTCGGTTTGTGAGACTTTCTACGACTGACTGAACTGACAAGCTAAAGTTGGTGTTAGAGATGATTGGGATCATACTAATATTTATTTATTTTTCCTTCTTATATTAATGTTAAAGTAAGTTTTTAATAAGAAAATTTGTTAAGTTTGATATCTTGTTTTGCATATACGATCCAGTAAAGAGAGAATATAGAGCTTATAGTTGGCCAAAGAAAGAAATCATCTTCAAAGAAACGAAGCCATCCAAAGTTTTTACCGGTAGAGTATGGTGACATTGTTGAAGGAAAAGATATTATCTGGTATTAGAAAGTTGGGGCAAAGTGAGCTATGAAGTTTCAGATGCTGATCAACCAGTACTAGCCTAACTCTGAGTATTTGGACCAAGTGTTATATTTTTTGTTCAGAACCCTGAAAAGGTTCAGGTAAAGGTCATATTTTGATCAACTAGATTCTGAAGAGGATGTAAGTAGCTATTGTGTTATCTAAAAACATATAATTAACTTTCAATTGTTGACCTGTGCCAAAATTACTTTGCTTGGGCACTTCTATTAGCTTATGAATAGGGGAAGCTTTTCTCACTTTTTTGGTGAATGGAGATGGTTTTAATTGGTATCTCTTATCCACATAGAACATATCTTATCTTATTCTCTTGTTGCGTTAGCAATAATTTTTTTCAAAAAATAAAATAAGTATATTTGTCATTGAAAGGGACCATGGGGCTAGGGATGATTATCGTTCGCCAGTGCAATCTAGATCAATTTCACGATCTCCTTCACCACGTGATGAAAGAGACTACAGGAGGTCCCCAAGTCCGCGGGAGAATGGTCGGAGTCCTCATGATGAAAGAGACTATGCACCCAGCAGATCAAGGAGTCTGAGGGGTAACAGTCGCAGTCCATCAAGGTCTCGTTCACGATCCTACAGGTAGATGCCTCTTCCATTTTGCAGTCATATATTGAATACATAATTTCCAGCCATAATAAGCTTAGCTGTCCAAAGTGGGGCCACTGAGTATGGTCTTAAATTTAGGGCAAATAGTCTCATATTGCATGAGAGAGACTACAAATGGATTTTTGTTCCTTTTTCTTTTTAAAGTTTTTCTTGTATGGAAACAATATTTACCTCCAAATTATTATCTTTTATTTTTGGGTTGATTTTATTCTTATGAATCGGTAAATTAGTTCGATAATTTGTTTGCTGCTGTCAATTACTTGAGCTTTGTGCTAGTCATTAGATGATGGTGAAAGTTTTGCCTTTTCCTTTCTTTTAATGCTGAGTCTGTTTGTTAGACCAATTAAAAATTACTTTCAATTTTGATTCCTATTAGAATGGATGGGTAATGTGCTTGTGTAATGCGGCTGTTGATTAAGGATGTTCTCTTGAATTGACTTGCGGGTGTGATCCTATTTAATTTACATTGCCTAATCAAATAGTTAGGTGATAATTTCTACAATTTTTGATGTGGAGTCATCCTGACATCCTACGATTCTTCATTGGCTAATTGAACTTGTGTTGATGATTTCTACAAAACTTTTTGCTGTGCAGTCCTCGCTGACGCCCGTCACGGGTACACTGCTGTGAATTTGCATCATCTGGTGGTGTTGCTGCTTGAAAGTCTACTATGAGCAATTAGTAGTTAACTGGATGATATGCTTAGTATTCTGGAAGGTCATGGACGTGTTTGGTAAATATGACTTTTGGACCATATCAGTTTGTCTAATGGATTTATACCATCCACATGTTAGTCATGTGGGAAGTGTAATTTTTGAACGAGCTTAATGTGAGTTTTACGGTTGGTTTAGTTGACAATCATCTTTTTCTAGAGTGCAAAGTTCTGCTGGGTAAGAAATTCCATGTGCATAATTTACGATTGAATGCCTGCATGTGTTTTCCCCGTTTTTCCTTCTTGTTTTGTTGTAGTACCCCTACCTTACACTTTGGGTGGTAGTTCTCTTGTTCATTCCACGCCTTACTTGGTTGGGGAATGTTACTAAGAGGTGGCAACTCGCACAAAATCTTTATATTTGCATGTGTTAAATTGTGATTTGTAGGAAGTAGAAATGCCTCCGAGAAATGTCCGGTTTGGCAATTACAATACATGTTTATACCCATAATTCAGCAGCTGTAACTGAGTACCTTTTTGTCTTTGAAGTTCAAAGTGAATAATATAAACCCAACGAAAAAATATGTTGCTTATATTGCACGCACTACCAAGGAGGCAGCGGGTTGAGACTCAACAGAACTACTAATTGAATCAAGCTAAATGACTCAATTACTTCGGGGTTTTATGGTCGAATGACTCAACCTTAAAGTTACGTTTTTCCAAGCAAAAGATGTTCAGGACCAAAAAAAAGAGCCATTTCTGCAATTTGCATAATGAAAGCCCATTATGCCTTTACAATGGATGCAAGGTACAACTCCAACTGCAATAGAAGTAATCAAACATGCTTCAAAAGGCATTTGGGCATACAAATAGGAAAATAGCTCAGATCTAAAGCCAAGATGAATTCAAATTGTATGCAACAATATCTGATCATTGCAAGCTGCCCATCTTATTGTGATCATGGTGGGATAAAAGGGCATGCATGCCCTCATGCCAATGGGCATTTTTTCTCGAATTCGTCTTGCTCTTTGCGACATAATTCAAATTCATTGGTATTGTAATACATGCATCCAACATAAGCATCCATCTCTTTCGTGCACCTCTGATGAAGATCTTTCAACCTGCAGGAAGAAATGCCATGTTTAGAAGGGTAACAAGGAATATGACTTTCTTCTCACCCCTTCAAAAATAGCATACCTCTCTGTGTATGTGTGTGTACATCAGCATGTTTGATGAGAGAACCAAAACTGATTCAAATTTCTCAATGAATTAGGTGGAAAAGTTGATGAATTGGTTACCAATCTAATTGTTGGTCAAGGTTTCATAGACATCATGCAATTAACTGGATGATTAAATCACAAAAAATTCCAAATCTGACTTGGTGCAGATACAAAGATGCATATTTCAATAAGTTGTGAGAGGAGAACGAAAAGATAATCATGATACTTGAAAATTGGTCCACTCAAAGGCTGTTAGTGAGACTCTATATAATATCTTAGGCCTCGTTTGTTTGGGAGGACTAGATTGGACCAAACTAGACTAGCAAAATGCCTACATTTCATGTGCAATCAAAGGCATAATATGAATATTGTTGTCTAACTTGGAGGATGAATGAGGCCTATTCATAAGAGGTTGATGACTAAAACTTATCCCTAATAATCCCACCAATTTCAAGGGGATTGGGGGGGATAAATTTTAGTCATCAACCTCTTAGTCCCCATTCTTCCTCCAAGTTAGGTAACATATCCATATTATGCCTTCAATGCACATGAAATGTAGGCATTTTTCTAGTCTAGTCTAGTCCTCCATAACAAACAAGCCCTTATAGTACTAAGCAATAGTCTTAGGATGTCTGATACAGAAGACCAGTGGGATTTTCCTTATTCATGTTTGGGGAAATACTCACCTGAACTTGAAGTCAATGGTACTACGGTTTTTTCCATTTTTGCCTGGAACCTATTAATTGGGTTTAGGCTTTTCTACTGGTTCTAGGCCATTGAATAAGTCGTGCAAGTTGCTAATATGTAGAGAATGACAACCTCGTGATGTCTACAGATATCACCGAGCAATGAACAAATGTTAATTGGAAAGAAATAAATATAGGTTCCAGAATGTAAAAGAAAACCAACTAAGCCATTCACCAAAAGGATACTATAATGTCATAAAATCCAGTTTCAATCTGATATCTGGGTAGGGTTGAATACTTCATAATAGAAACAATAGAGGACAATATACAACATTGTCATTCACCATCAGTGTTCTTTGCCGAAGTGGTTTTTTACCTCTAAACCTGGAGTAAGGTCACAATTAACAAGGTTTGGAACAAGGATTCTGAAATCTGCTGCCAATGAACTTTACGAAGTTGATACAACAAAAAGAAAGGCTAGTGATAGCCTCCTAGTAAGTAACACCTAGATTTAGGGTCTCAAAATTTATGGCATTTAGCACAAGTTCTAAAATCTAGGTACCAATAAGCAAGGTATGAATTGAGTATAATAAAGAATGGGGGATGTGTTTACATGTGCTAGACTCAGCTGTAAAATTAACAAATGAAGAGCATGAACATGTAAGCACAAATCGTGGCATAGCTTCAAATACAGAAGCAGTCAGCTAGATCTCATAAATTGTGGCATAGCTCAAAATATTTGCCTCGATAGACGGTCATGCGATGGTATAAAGTATAAACATAGATGCGCACACATTTAACATTTCCATTGCAATAACACAAGTTTGAGAATTCTCTACAACCCAGAACCCACATTCAGCTCATTGGAGCAACCAAAGTCCCAAATCAGAAAAACCACAACACAAAAACGTTTAAATTCCAAAAGGGTCGACATAAAACCGAAGCATAAGAATCTCAGGGAAATAAAAAAGGAAGCGAATTTGAATTGGCTTACAGGCTAAGAACGCATCGAGTGACTTGGCGACCCTTGTCGAGACACTTCTCAGGGTTCGGGTCTTTCTTCTTGCACTTGAGAAAAGCCACGTTCTCGGCTTGGCACTGGAACTGAATGTGCTTCGACGCCGCCGTCAGAACTGCCGATGTTGGGATCGGATCTCCTGCTGCGTCCACTGCGCTGGCCATCTTCAGTTCCGCCGATCGATTCTGATAAAATTAAGAAAAAATATCGAAAACTGGAAGTAAAAGACGTTAATTTCGAGAAATTGAATTGAGAAAGAAAGTGTAGAATTGGTAAAGTCCGTACCTTTCTTCTCTTTACTATCGGTTTCTCTGGTTCAATGAGTTTCCTCAGCTGAGTGAGAGAAGGGGGGAGAGGAAATGAGTGTGTTAGGTTATGGTGATAACAGCTAGCTTCGCTGACTCAGGAGTTGGAGGACCAAAAACAAAAAGGTAAAGGGTATTTCAGTCCTTTGACACAAATGGTGTCCATTAAAACGGCCGCGTGTCGTTTTGGTTAGGGCTCTTTTCTTCTCACAACTCTCTGCATCATACTCTCTATTTCGGCTTCCTCCTCTCTGACAACTACAAAGGTTTGAACAGTAAGTACTCAATTCTCTTAACCATTTCTAACGAAAAGATTTCCATTATCTGCCTATTTGTTGCTGTTGCTGTTGCTGTTGTTGTTATTTTACTTGTTTGTTTGTTTTGAACTGGGAATGGTTGGAGGTTTGTAATAATGGAGATGGATTATGGATAGATGGAAAGGTTTAGATTCTTTTTTTTTTTTGGGTTTTCAATGAATAATATCTTATATTTAGAGCAAATATGGTATGGGTTTGCTTTTTTGTATCAGGCTTGTTGAAGATGTTAATATGCACATGTAGATAATATATGGATTTTAAGTGGGTTTTCAAAGTTTTTGTTCTTCTCAGTTGCAAAGAGCTTTCTTGATTGATTCTATACCTATGTGGCCTCCCTTAAGAATATCATTTTTTGGGCACAAATTTACACCTACAAGTATGGTGGCCCTGTGAGTTGTGATGGGTTTTCTGTACTAGGATTACTTACTCTCATTATAAGTTGTTCTGAAATCTTGAAATGGATTTCTATTACAGATGGTTGTTGTTCATCATCTTGACTATTTTTTCCTTTCTGTTTGGGGCAATATTGAAGGTCAATGTGAAGACCAATACCTATTTAGTGATTTTCATGTTTCCGGCAGATGCACATCTTTAGTTTAACACATATTTATCTGCCCACCCTTATTGTGTAGTGAAACATGTGTTTTTCTGTTACTTTTGATTGGTTCTCTCTTTCTCTTGCTTGAATTAAGGAATGGGTGACAAAAAGAAGAAGGCTACTGTTTTCATCCGACTTGTCTCAGCTGCTGGCACCGGATTTTTCTATGTCAAGAGGAAGCCTACTAAGGTGACAGAGAAGCTTGAGTTCCGAAAATTTGACCCTCGGGTAAATCGTCACGTTCTATTTACAGAGGCAAAAATGAAATGAGCAACCTGCCTGTCCAATATAGATGATTTCATTGCCCCACCTTGTTTTTCTTTCTGTTGTAGACACTTTGTTTTAAGGTAGGGACCTAACTCCTAAGAATATGCAGTCGTTGTTGGTGGTGTCTATTTTATCTTGATGAAAGTTCGTGCTTTCTCTATCTGAAGTATAATAAGTTCAAATTTTGTTTGGCCATTCAACTAGTCTTATGCTGTTCCAAAACAATGGTTGATTGAAATGTTGAGGAGCTTTTATTAAGAGTTAATACGATGTGGTTTCTTTTTTGGCCTATTTCAGACCTAAGTTGCTAGTTGTTTGAATTTGAGTTGTCTTCTGGGTCTCAAGGTATTTGCTTCTGGGCTCTCCAGTCTTCGGAGTTTTTCTTTTTTTTCTGCCAGACTTAAGTGTTGGAGCTTCATGTTCATCAACCGAAGTTGATTAGGTTTGGGTGAAAAAAAAAAAGTTAGCTAAAACATGGAAAATTTGATTTGGGTGAAATCGTGATGGGTTATTTTAACGAATGGGCCCTCAATTGATAATGTCATTTTGTTATCTTCCCAATTGGCAAATGTGGGATCTTAATAACTATGCCCCTTCCAATTTGTGGAAAATGCTAAAACTGAAAAGTACTCTTGAATCTGATAATTTTTCTCTCTTATTGCTCTAGGAATGGTAGAAGTTGAAGCCTTTTTTCAACAAACAATTTCCCCCCCTTTTTTTTTAATGAATTTTGCAGGCTAAGTATATAATGGTAACAAATAGCAATGTGTTGCAAATTATTATAATAATATAGTTTCATCAAGGCGTAAGCGGATGTGGGTTAACCTTAGTCAAAGCAGTGAGCTCGCACCCTTTCACTCGAGTTTGAATTCACCTCTCCATGAATTCACTTATATATATATAGAAGCAGCCAAAACAGCATTTTTGATACCTTCCTGTCTACATCCAATGAATGAGTTTGTTAGGATGACCACTGCTAGGCTTGTACTGGTGTAGTTTATCTTTTTTGGTTTTTCTTGGGCTTCGGCCCTCCTTGTAACCCAACAAAAAACAAAAAAAATAAAAAATCCCATTGAAGGCATTAAACAGGGACGTTCATATTCCTACCTTAAATTCAATATGTTAAAGAATATATCTATAATATAACAGTATTTTTCACAAGTTCGTTGTGACTAAACAACATTCACGTAACAATTGAGTTTAGAATTAATCTATAATATCACGGTATTTTCTACAAATTTGTTGCAACTGACCTTAACGTTCATCTTTAATATAATAGTATTACACAAATTTTCTTATTAGATTGCTGTTGGGGACAAGTAATGGACAATTTTTCTTTTCAAGATTGTAATATATTAGTATAAAATTATTAAATTAAAATGGATGACGTTGCAAAATAAATGCGACTGCCACGTCAGTGAGTGACCACCATTTGGAAAATGTTTTTTTGTGTATTGCTGTATTCGTATCTATCATCAACCTATCTTTCTGTGATTTCTAGTGACGTGGCCCAATGAATGAGCACATGCACACTTTGATCCAAAAGCATTGGTGCTGGTAAAAACAATTTACAGGTACGAACATGAAAAGTAAACAAGTTGAAGCTGTTTTAGACCATTTTTGGTCTTTGAATGCTCTTACTTTCCATCGACTCTTAGACACTATTTCACCATCAGCCACACATCATTCACAGTAACGCGCATTTCAGTCCTCTCTCTCTCTCTCTCTCTCTCTAGCTCTCTCTCTATTTATTTATTCAATTCCCCACTGACACTACCACCATTTTCACCCAGCACTTCCTCGCAGTGGGAAAACTGTCAGGCCTTAATTTCTTAATAACCCTTTTCTGGGTTCTTCTTCATTTCACTTCTAATTACAATTTTGAAGTTGTTTAGCTCTCCTTGAAGTTCTTCTACATGCAATGGCTCTTTGTACATTCTCATTTCCTGCACATATCAACCGGCCAACAACACATTCAGATGCTCAGAAATCCACCTCTTTGTTTTCCCATTTCTCTTGGGGAACAGTTCTGCCATGCCAATCTCAGCACAAGCTCAATCAGGTTAGAAAGTCTGCATCTTTCTTGTAGAATTTAAGAAGAGGAACTCATCGCATGGCTGAAATGATTTAAGGAGGAACTGGGTTTTGTTTCATAATTCAGCACCTCTGAAAAACTGAACAGGACAAAAGTTTTTGCTGAAAGATAAGGGCTTTTTTGTTCGCATTTGGAACACACAGGTCAGGAGGAAAAGGCCAGCTGGGATTTGTGCATCACTGTCAGAGAGTGGGGAGTATCACTCACAGAGACCACCCACTCCTCTCTTGGACACCATAAACTATCCAATTCACATGAAAAATCTTTCTGTCAAGGTACATATCTGAAGGCCTATTACTAACTGGTACTTTTTTTGAATATCTTTTTTAATTTTTATATCAGGAAGAGCTTCAAATCTTTGTATAGCTTTAATTTGATCTTTTTTCTTATGCTGATTGTGAATTCAGGAGCTTAAACAACTAGCAGATGAGCTGAGGTCTGATGTCATCTTCAATGTTTCTAAAACTGGAGGTCACCTGGGCTCAAGCCTTGGTGTTGTGGAGCTCACTGTGGCTCTTCATTATGTCTTCAATGCTCCTCAAGATAGGATCTTATGGGATGTTGGCCATCAGGTTTCAATTGGTTCCTCAAGCTTGCAAACATAGAAAAATATTGATACCACGAATTTTCCATATCTGATTGTAAGTTTTTGTTTTGATTTATGTAGTCTTACCCACACAAAATCTTGACTGGGAGGAGAGATAAGATGCACACTATGAGGCAGACAGATGGGTTAGCTGGCTTCACTAAGCGCTCTGAGAGTGAATATGATTGCTTTGGCACTGGTCACAGTTCTACCACTATCTCAGCAGGCTTGGGTAATTTCTTCTTCTGCACCATTTTGAAAGCTTTTTTGATCTTAACAGTATTCTTGTTTTGTTTATAAAATGATTTTATGATTAGAATCTACAATTATGGTCTGAGCTAAAAGATTTCCATTTAACATCTTTCCTTATCTTATTGAAGACAGTTTCTTATAGAACTAATTAAAAACCTGTTTAAGAATAATTCTATTATTGTGTAAATGAAAGAAATCAGCTTCCTTTGACAATATTTTTGTGTAACTGTTTGTGGGATGCCTGATGATACACTTGCATCTTATGTTATGGAAAATGTTTATTATATTATCAGTCATACAATCACATTGGCCTTTTCTATATATGAATGATCCAATTGACTTCTATTTAATTTCTAAAGTTACAGTCTCGATTAAAATTCTTAGATCACAACATTGATTTCTCTCTTTGGTTTTAACCTTTGGGATGTTAATCAACACACAGGGATGGCGGTGGGAAGGGATCTAAAGGGTGGAAATAATCATGTGGTTGCTGTAATAGGTGATGGTGCTATGACAGCAGGGCAAGCTTACGAAGCCATGAACAACGCTGGGTACCTCGATTCTGACATGATTATAATTCTGAATGACAATAAACAGGTTTCGTTACCTACTGCCAGTCTTGATGGACCCATACCTCCAGTAGGAGCTTTGAGTAGTGCTCTCAGTAGGTTGCAGTCAAACAGGCCACTCAGAGAATTAAGAGAGGTTGCCAAAGTAAGTAATCTGAATTCAGAACAGAATTAAGCATAAAGACAGCACAACATTTTTAAAATCTGGTGAGTCTGAATGTGGTTCAACTTTCATTTGAGTTTGTTGCAGGGAGTTACCAAACAAATTGGTGGTCCGGTGCATAATCTGGCAGCAAAAGTTGATGAGTATGCTCGTGGAATGATCAGTGGTACTGGTTCATCACTATTTGAAGAGCTTGGACTATATTATATTGGTCCAGTTGATGGTCACAACATAGATGATCTTATTGCCATTCTCAAAGAGGTTAAAAGTACCAAAACAACAGGTCCTGTCCTGATCCACCTTATCACTGAGAAAGGCCGGGGATATCCATATGCAGAGAAAGCTGCAGACAAGTACCATGGTAAATATGGAATTTCGTTGAATTATTTCCAAAATTGATCCATCTCATTCGCTCAAGATGCCATGCAAGGAAAACTGATAATCTTCAATGCAATTAAAAAGATCTCACTGATGTGATCTGCATATGCCTTATCTCAATCCATCAAGGACGTTTAAGTAGTTTTGCTTTCACTTTTGCTTTTTCAGGAGTGGCCAAGTTTGATCCTGCAACCGGAAAGCAATTCAAAGCCAGTGCTAGTACACTTTCTTACACAACATACTTTGCTGAGGCTTTGATTGCAGAAGCTGAAGCGGACAAAGATATTGTAGCAATCCATGCTGCAATGGGAGGTGGAACAGGCATGAATCTCTTCCTCCGCCGTTTTCCAACAAGATGCTTTGATGTTGGAATAGCAGAGCAGCATGCGGTTACTTTTGCTGCAGGTCTGGCCTGTGAAGGCCTAAAACCTTTCTGTGCAATTTACTCATCTTTTTTGCAGAGGGCTTATGACCAGGCAAGCTAATAGCTTCTTCCATATACGTCTCCCCCCATCATTATCTTCGTTTGAAATTTTATATGGTGCTATTCTTTTATAGTCATAATATTACTGAAAGAGTGTGCAAACTCAAAGGTTGTATTCTCTGGGTTCATGCCACAGGTGGTACATGATGTAGATTTGCAGAAGCTGCCTGTGAGATTTGCCATGGACCGAGCTGGACTGGTTGGAGCTGATGGTCCCACGCATTGTGGGTCTTTTGATGTAACTTTTATGGCATGCCTGCCTAACATGGTGGTGATGGCTCCTTCTGATGAGGCAGAGCTTTTCCATATGGTAGCCACAGCTGCGGCCATAGATGACCGACCAAGTTGTTTCCGATACCCAAGAGGAAATGGGGTTGGTGTTCAACTGCCGCCAGGGAATAAAGGCACTCCTCTTGAGGTGACTTTCAACAGAGTCTACTTCTATATATCTCCATAGTGGTGGAAAGTCTCAATAGCATTTTACAAGATAATTAAATGTTTGGTAATTCAACTACAGGTAGGAAAAGGCAGAATATTGATTGAAGGGGAAAGAGTGGCACTTTTGGGATATGGAGCAGCAGTTCAGAGCTGTTTGGCTGCATCCTCTTTGGTTGAATCCCATGGCTTGCGCCTAACAGTTGCTGATGCACGGTTTTGCAAACCACTGGATCGTGCTCTTATTCGCAGCCTTGCAAAATCACATGAGTTTTTGATTACAGTGGAAGAGGGATCCATTGGAGGGTTCGGATCTCACGTTGCTCAGTTTCTGGCCCTTGATGGCCTTCTTGACGGCAAACTTAAGGTGTGAATTTATTGTTATGACATGATGTTTCATTGAGTCTTGCATTAACATTGAACTCCTCAGCTACTGGTAAACAAACCTCACTTTGATGTTGTATAACTTGCAGTGGAGACCGCTGGTTCTTCCAGACCGGTACATTGACCATGGTTCCCCTGCTGATCAATTGGTCGAAGCCGGGCTCACCCCTTCTCATATTGCAGCAACAGTATTCAACGTACTTGGACAAACAAGAGAGGCACTGAAGATAATGTCATGAAGGGAAACTACAGAGTTCCCTTTTTTCACTGTATACAAAACCAAAACTGTAATGATTTATATTTAGTTTCCCCATCTGTATAAAGTAGCATATTTGAGCAAAAGAGTGGCATTAGCTGAAGGCAGCCTAACCAATCCAGTACATCAATCACCAGCTCAAACTAGTTGAGTTCCCAGAGATTTTAGCATGTCCTATAAATGCAAGAATTGATTTGTAGACTAGAAGACAGCTTTTGAAGTCTTTTTCATGTTCGCAATTCCAATTCTGAGTTGCCAAGCACTTGGTTACCTCATTGCTTAACCATTATGCCAATAAACAAAAGCTAGATCTGCAAAATATTATTGGACACTGGAAAGAGAAGAACAAGGGTGGAAAAATTGTTTATTTTTCTGGTATATGATATAATGCTGGCAACTTCTTGTTGACGGTGAATGTGAATGGTGCATGTATCATGGTGCTTATTGTTTGATAGAGTACTACAAATGTTTGAGATATGATCAACTCTGCAATCTCTAAAATCTGTCACAACCAAGAGGTTGGTGGGTCGGTGCTTGAAAATTTCACATGCATTGCATTTGTCATAATGCATCCCATTGTACTCAGATGCTGACACTTCGAGAGAGAGAGAGAGAGAGAGAGAGAGAGAGTGGCTTTGGCACAAGACGACGTTCCATATGTAGGCAGGAGGAGACTAGTTAGTGGTGAGCGGTATGAAACCACATTTTATTACTACTTTTCATGGCTTGCCAAAGCAATCACATACATACCCAACTGATTAAATTGAAGTATGCATCCCCACCTCTCCAATTATAAGTCATGAATTGACATATCTCCAAAACAGTTAGTCAAAAAAAATAGAAAGAGTTAGGCCACATTGCCTTATTCATCAGAAAATGAAAGCAAATAATACAAAATTCATAAAGGCCACCGCATATGGAAACCAACCACCAATGCATTATTTCCCTTTATATCCTGCAAACAAATTATTGCCCATCTCAAATATTAAATAAACAAAATGATTTGTGCACCTAAAAAGAAAACTTGTATGAATGGAATGGCTTATGTCATCCATCCGTCACAAGTGCGGATGCGAGACTCACAAATAGGACCTCACATCTTCTTACGCTTCAAAGAATTTATAAATTTTGTGTTATTTCTGTGAGAAACGGACGGACGAACGCATGATGAATTTTGATCTTTGGTTACATCATGCAACAAGCATTAGGGTTCTCATCACTAAACATCATTAGAATATCAGTCTCTTTGCAGCAGTCAAAAAAAGGTTTTGACAAATTGCCTTCATCAGACGCATCGTTTGGTTTTTCTTCCTTGTCAACCACAATCTCTACTTTCTTGCCTGTCTTCTTCCTCAGTTTCTTCAAAACCTTTTGTGGGTCCATCTTCCCCGTCACAACAACCTTGTGTTTGTTCATGTCTGTCGTAAACTTCTCCACGCCTAATGAATTAACCCACGAAATTAAATAAGCAAAATACAATTAAAAATAATAATCGTATGTTTAAGAAGAGATGAAGATCGAATTGCACAAGTGATTTACCTTTGAGTTTGGAAAGAGTTTTAGCAACGGTTCTTTCGCATGCATTACAGTGCATTGAGACGTTGAATTCTGCCACAATTACCTACATATATATAAGTAAGAAATGTAATAATTAATTTTGAAATTTTGAGTTTCGATTTTAATGGTGAAATAATTGGAAATATAGAATCTTACTTTGGCTTCCTGATCATTTTTCTTCTTCTTTCCCATTGACAGTGTTGGAAACATGCAAATTAACCATGCACGGGAAATTAAGGGAAACGATATTGCCTTTGGCCTTTGAGAGAGAAAAGGCAGTTCGGTAAATATTTTTTTTGCACGTGAGTGAGTTTGGTAAAAGCGGTTAATATTAATTTTGGGTTGATCAATTACGGACATGCCCCTCTTCCTTGGTCGGAAAATCTCTTTGCCCCACATCAACACATATATTGATCATATCGCTGAGTACCTTTCTAATAAAGGTGGACTCTAGTCTAATATATGTGGAACTCATATATATTAGATGTGGTCAGCAATGCGGTTAGTAAATATGGTACAAATAGCTTCATTTGGATCAAAATACATCGGTCACTAAATATGGTACAAATAGCGTCATTTGAATCAAAATTAACTATTTTCGAAACTATAAATATACCCTTTTCTAGGATGTTTATTTTATTCAGTTCGATCGAGTGGTACGGCTTTTTGTTGAGTTGCAACCACCAAGGCCCTACCTATTTATTCCCATTAGAAAAAAGAGAAAAGAGCAAACTATATGACCGTGGAACTCATATATATTAGAGATGTGGTCAGCAATGCGGTTAGTAAATATGGTACAAATAGCTTCATTTGGATCAAAATACATCGATCAGTAAATATGGTACAAATAGCGTCATTTGAATCAAAATTAACTATTTTTGAAACTATAAATATACCCTTTTCTAGGATGTTTATTTTATTCAGTTCGATCGAGTGGTACGGCTTTTTGTTGAGTTGCAACCACCAAGGCCCTACCTATTTATTCCCATTAGAAAAAAGAGAAAAGAGCAAACTATATGACATTACAGACGTGACAATTAATAATAGACCATATAATTAATGGAGATATCTTAATCTTAATTAGCTGCATTAACAACCCTGCAATTCTTCCTAATCTCTCCATCATCCCGGGCACCTTTTTTGACTCCAATGGCACCCATTTTCTTCATAGAAAGCCCAAAGTTAGCCATGAAAACATGGAACCCTTGAAAGCTTTTTACAACTCTAGCCGAACGTGGGTCAGTGAGTAGGGCTGCATCTGATCCCAAGAGCCCTTTGTTGTGCCTCAAACCCACAAAGTAATGGCTGTCAAAGGAAACTGAGCTGTTGGCGTCCAATGCCACAGCGACCGCCGGGTTAGGCGGGGTGGTGCATTGCGTTCTCAAGAACTGTGCGTATTCTGGATCAAGTGAAGGGTCGGCGTCACCTTTGCCTGTCGCATTCAGTCTCCTTTGAAATACAGCGCAATGTGCCACTCCAATTGTATGTGCCCCTACAAAGTTTTGAAATTAACATTCTCTTGTCAGATAGTCTGATCAGTTAGTTTGAACCATTAACGAGATAGATTCTTATTTGAACACGGAATTCAGATTCGTATATCTGTCTAGCTTGTTATATATATACCTGATAAGGCAACAAGATCTATGATGTTTAGGCCAAGACCAGCAAATTGCTGTTGCAGGGTGGTGAAGTTTGCATTTCCGGAGGGCAAGTCCCTTGAAGCCTCTGTGGCAAGTGAGACTCTTCCATCTTTTCTGCCAGTCAAAACCTGCCACATGGGCCTCCCAAACTGCACAAGCGCGATGTTAGATGATATTGATGAAATCTTACTAGAAAAAAAGAACATTATGTGTACGTAATATTGTCGTCACACATAATAATTTTTATTAATATGTGATAAAAAAGAGGAATGATTTTAGTGTGCATGGCACGTACTTGGTAAGAAACAGCATCCCTGGCAGCCAAGGCAACAATATCAGCACATGAGACGATGTCGGGACATTCTTCTTCTAATTTGGTTTTGATTTCGTCAATAACATCGTAACCTCCGATGGACCTGTTTGGTATTGCATCCTTTTCTGCCGCGTTGCCACTCGTTGAATCTATCAATATTGATGCATCACATCCCTACAATGGCATGATAGGTCATCGTGAACCATAGATTAAACTGACCGTCCGCTAAAGTCAATTCAATTAACAACGTTAAGAGCCGTCACATACATACAAATTAGTATATAATTAGTGAGGTGTATTATCTACTTATAAGAGCATCCACAGTGGGGAGGGTGTATTTTCAGGGGTGTAAAGCCACTTTTACATTCTCTTTACATCTCCGGGGGTTTAAATGTGGTTTTTACTCCAATGGGAAAAATGTAAATCTAAAGATGTATAATTGATTTTGCTCACTTTTGTCCATATTTTCTTATTTTTTTTTCTTCTCATGTAGGCCTCACCTGCAAGGGATGTAAAAAATGATGCACATGTGCATCTAAATTTGCATCTCATGATTGTAATGCAAATTTACAATTGTTTACACCTTCCCATTGCAGGTGATTCCGATCACAAATGGTATATATTTAACATACATCTCATTATACAACCCCTCACTAGAGATGCTTAATGATGTATAAATTGAGTGCTTAAAATTAATTATACCCGAACAAAGCAATCATGGTAGTGGAGCCTTAGAAGCTTGGCTGCCAAGGTAGGATTTGCTGCAACCTTGCTCCATGTAATGCTCCTCACTATTCTTCCAATTTGAGGGCAACTCTTGCGCTAGAACGCCGGGCTCAAGCCACGTCCATTGCAAACACTAACAACCTCTATGAGCACAAGAAGAGAAACAAACAATACATTTAAATTGACAAGCCTCATGATTTCAATTAATTATCCAGAAAAAAAAAAAAAAACCCCCCAAATTAATTTTGAGTATGGTCTTGCAGGAAGCAATGCCAGTGTTTGTTTTCTGCTAGCTGAATGAATATGCAATCTCAAAAGCAGCAAGACTCTATATATATAGTAGTAGCAAACCCACTTTCGAAGTTGATTCTTGGTTTCCTTGTGCTATAATTAATCCATTAAAAACCTATTTGAACGTTCACTTTTCCAAGGGTAATGCTCTTCATGATATATTTTGAATAATTGAAGTATATGATTGGCCAAGTCAACTACTAATTAATCATTTGCCCCTTGCTTCATTGAACCAAGGCTTTGACCGAAAGAAATGGGAGACGACTTGTTTTTCAATGTTTATTAAGGTATTTTAAAATGAAAAACTAGGTTACCTATTAATGAGTATAAGAATTTGTGTATAGTTCAATACTAATGCATAAGGAGTAAAAAAACTATCTAGGTTCCACGTTAAAATCTATATATAATCCAATACTTGAAAAATCTTGGAAGTAGATTGATTAGAAAAGCGCAGTTGATTTTATACTCATTCCTTCTTTTCTATATTTCTAACTTCCCCGATTCATAAGTGAACATACGAGCAAATGTCTATTGGGTTTGACATTTGCAATTATTACTTTATATTACTACATGCGATTGAACTTAGTTAGGTGACAAAATTTCAATGTTTCAACGTAATTCAAGGTATATACCTTGCTTCTTACATATATATAAGTACATGATTTTGCACGTCCCTAGATCGACTATCTTGATGGCTGGCAATGGCATAGTGATATTAGTTAATTATACAAATATTTAATTAATTTCAATGTATGCTTTTGGAGAGATCTGTGCACAAATGATGGAGAGTAAAAAGAAAGCAAATGGTTGGGCGATTCAGTTTCAGATAAACCTGGACGGCCATAACCATTATATTATAAGGACGGCTTGTTTTTAACCCATGTTCATACTTCCATTTGAACAAGGATCCACTAAAATCTGGAAATTAATTTTGCGATACCACGCAATTTGGTATATAATCAATTTACTCTTTTAGGATTCAAAGGGTATACGGAATTTCGTGGGACTTTTATACCAACAAATTTTCTTTTATTCATGTGAGTCGAACCTTAAATTTTCTCAAATTAAATGGAGATAGCTGCCATGAAACCAAATAATAGTCAATTAATTTAAGTTAATTACTCTTGTGATGTTTTTCTTTTACTTCCGTGGTGGCCGCATTTGCTTCAGGGGAAGATATAGATGCCGCCAAAGCATACATTATAGATTAAACTCCAAATCACTTTCATTCAAAGCATAATATATGCAGGGGGTTCTCTTTGGTTTGAGGATATAGCTTCCAGATAATCAAAACTTCGAGAACCCTTTTTTTCGGATGGCGCCTGAGAAAAGTTAAGCCTCCAATAAATCTTCAACCAAAAGGTAAGACTAGTGCATAAAACTCTATCCAAAACACAATGGCAAGGATACATCATTCTTAATTGGACATATATAATCACAGTTACATAGATCACTGATGAAAGCTCCAAAAAGGGCATGCAAACACACACCTTAAGACATTTTCTCTACATCTTTAACACAAAACTTAAATTATATATGCTTCTAAAGCCTAAGAAAAATGACAGAGGAAGACGAAATCTCCACCGAAAACTTGATACAACAATTGGTCGTAGTGAGTTGCTAGACCGTCTCTTAAAAATCTTAACAATATCTAACTGTAATATCTCATTCATCTTTAGACCGAAACTTAAATTATGTCTGTAATAATTAAGAAAGACAGAGGAGGTATATAATCAAAAGTAATTACAAATTAAGGACTTGATGATGGGTACCCTACTGCCATGCAAGTCTCCCAAAAGAGCCTATCCTCCTCCATCTCATCCATGCTGTTGTTAACATGACAAACCATCTTTGATTCCACTTCTTCTTCTTCATCTTCCTCATAACCTGAGCCTGCATCTGACTGCAGCCACACCTTGCTACTACACCGACTCTTCTGACGCTCTTCGGCATCCTTACAGTAACTATCAAGAGCCTCACAAGCACCAAATGCATGATCACTAAGTGTGCCAGAGCTGCATGACTCTGCATCCTCAGCTTCAAGTGCTATTTCTATTTTAGTGCTGTTGTTTGCATTCAGAGGGCCAGTGTGATGATCTGCCTCTGAATCTGCACTGCCTTCCCATAGAAAGAAGCAAGACACATCAACAAAACCCTCCTTGCAATCCATAATCTTCACTGCTTTTTCATTGAATTGAATATTAACTCTGTGGTGGTTAAAG